GTAATCTGTGCGCAACCACCAGACTACCCACAAGCTGCGCACACGTTGGGAGCAGAGGCGGAAAGCAGGGACCCGCAGACTCGCCCTCCTTGCGAGGGTCGAGGGGTGTCCGCAGGTGCAACGTCGTTCCTCGTCAAGCTCCCATGCAGGCCCGCTTTCCAGATGTCCGCACTGCTAATGTCGCACGCCCGGCAAGCCAGGAGCGACGTTGTTGCCGCGCAGAGAGGGAGGGAGGAGGTGAGGAGGACCAAGTGGACGTCTCTCTTCCATCGTCGGGGCCTCTCCCTGGCGGGCCCGTCCGAGGGACTCTCGACACGTTTTCTGTTCCTGATGCAGCAGTGATGACAAAAGGGAGCAAGGGAGATCCTCAGAGCGGAGGCAGTTGTCGGGGAAGAAGCCACTCGCTCTCCTCTCATCCGAAAGGCTGCCCCGTCATCCACGGCAGTGTGAGCGTGCGGTAGCATAGTAGAGACTGATGTAATCAAGCGAGACACTGTGCAAGCGAGCCGAGCGGACGCAAGAACCCTCGGCATGGTCAATGTTCGCAAGCCGCGATGTGCACGATCCCAGCCGTCACACTCCTTAGCCCGCGTCACTGTCATTGGATGTTGTGCGCAAGAGGCCACTGTGGCTGACAAGGAGGAGCAGAGGGCAGAGGCACAACAGCAGGGAGAGGGATACGGATCTTTCCTTTTGATTTCACAGTCGCCCTTGGCTGGCGCCTACGAACGACAGCTCGGAGAGCTCATTAGTCTTGCAGTACTGCGTGAGTCGAGGTTGGTGCCCCGTTCACATGCCTTTCTCGCCCTTCTTGCCGCCGTTCGGAACGATCTCGATCCTGCGGGAGGGACCGGTAAGCGTGTGGTGCCATGGATGACGGAGAGCGGGCACGCACCAGTAACGGTCAGGGTCGTACTGATGCAAGCCGGAGGAGAGTTAGCGGGAGACGTCTCGCAACAAGGAGGAAGACGACGCACGACGAAGGCAATGTGCTTCATGCGCCCCTCCTCAGGGCGCTTCTTGAACTGCACGCCGAGCCCATCGAGCCGCTTGCACTCAGCCTCAACGTCGTCGACCGAGATAGCGATGTGGCCGAAGCCTGCGAGTCCGGGTCAGCTGGGAAGGTTCGGGCCAGGATGGCGTGTACTCACCGCGGCCGGGCTCCTCGTTGCCGTTAGCGTACTTGAAGTCGGCGTCGTTCTCCGTGCCGTACTGCAGCGGGACTGGAATCAGCTCTGAATGACAAGGAGGAGAACCGCGAGGACATACGTTGTGGCACAACTCGAGGATTCCCTCGCGCTGGAACTTGCGGTCCGACTTCTCCTCCTTCGACATGTTCTCCTTTCCCTCCTCGGGGAACGCAAGGAAGTAGTTGGTGAAGTCGCCGCCGGGAGACTCGTGAACTGCGAAGGCCCAGGGAGGCGAGGTCAACCTGCGAATTCGGCCTGAAGTGGCCGCCCGATCCGCGACGACTCACCGAGCTCCATGCCGAGGATCCTGGTGTAGAAGTCGAGCGAGATCTTAGGGTCCTTGATGCGGAACATGGTGTGGTCTGGCGGTCGGTCCGATGCAAGGTCAGTTTCGCTGGTCCCCAGGGACGGGGCGGGCGTCGCGGGAGGTCGCCATTGACCCCTCAAGCACTCTTGCCTGCGTCGTATCTGCCCGCACAACGTTCCCAAGCGAGTACACTCCATCGGAGCGTCATCAAGTGGAGGCGAGCGATGAGGGGAGGGAAAAGGCGAGAGAGGACGACGGGACTGACTGAGACGAGGAGGCGCCATCTTTAGAGCTGTAGAGTGGAATACGCGGGTGAAGGGAGCTGCTCGTGCGGTTGAAGCGAGGCGAGAGAGCATGAGGAGCGAAAGCGGTGGGGCTCACCTCGTCGGCACCCGCCAACACGCTCACACAGCTTGCGATGGGCTTGAAGGACACTGAGACGCTTCCAGCGCCCGCTGCTGCCCCGGCCGAACCTACTCGCGGTCGCAGGAACCGCTGGACACTCCTGCTCGGCGTCGCTCTCCTCGCGGGTTTGCGGTTGTTCGCATGGTCGAGGGAAGGGCAAGGCTGGCTGCAGGTGCGCTCGAGATACTCAGAATGCTCGACCTGTGTTGACGAGCCAACCACAGGCCATCCTCAATCCTCGCACGACGCTCTTTTGGTACCCTTGCCCCGACGACTCGACCACGCTGTGCTCTTTCTTGACCGTGCCGCTGGGTTCGTTCGTCCACTCTTCGACATTCAGACTGCTGATGACCCCATGCAGATTACACCGACCCGCGGCCGAATGAGACGGTCTCTCTCGCCCTTCGAATGATCCCTGCGACCGTTCCTCCGAAGGAGCAGCTTGGCTATCTATTGTGCGCTTCGTTCAGCCATTCTCTTGGCTAAGAGCCTGATAGTTGGATGCAGCACGAACCCTGGCGGACCTGGCGGCTCTGGCACAGCCGCTGTCGCTTCGTACGGTGGAAAACTCGCAGCCATCGTCGAAGGTGCGCTTCGACGCTTTATCTACAGCTAGCCCACGCTCACGCTATACTTCGCAGGCCGATACAACGTCCTCTCCTGGGATCCTCGCTCCGTCAACTTGACCGCGCCTGCTGTCGGCTGCTTCGCGACCGACGGCGATGCGAACCGCTTCCTGCGTGACATTGAGCACCTCGGCTTGCCATTCGGTACGAGCGACGCCTTTGTTCAGTCTTCAGCTGGCTACTGACAGCACTGCTTTGCAGAGGCGCGCGGCTCTCCTGCGCTCGGCTTCTCCCAACGCCTCACTCGCAGCCGAGTACGCCTGGACCGTCAAACTCGACGCTTTCGAGCAGGCACTCGCGAGCTCTTGCGATCCAAGTGCGGCTCATAAGATTGTCAGGGCTAGCTCGACAGCCTTTGTTGCGAGGGATATGAAGCGGATCCTCGAAGCGCTCGGGGAGAAAAAGTTGTCCTACTGGGGGTTCAGGTGAGTCTGCCGCATTTCTCCTTAGTGTACTGTCTTCGTGCTGATTCGGTTATACAGCTATGGCACAATCCTCGGCGCAACTTTCTCGGCGATGTTCCCAGACTTGGTCGAGCGTGCGCTCCTCTACCTCTACCACCTCGAGCGAGAGCTGACCTCGCGTTATAGGGGTCATCCTCGACGGCGTATCGGATGCGGATAGCTACACGAACGACTTGTGGGAGTGGGGCAGGTCAGGCATGGCCGATACTCGCAAGGTGCGTCCCGCCTCTCGCGACTCGCAGGCATCGCTGACTTCGGAGGCGCAGACTTTCGAAGGCTTCTTCTCGGCATGCGCAAAGTCAGGACCAGCAGGCTGCGCCTTTGCTATCGACAACTCGACTGCCGAAGAACTCGAGGACCGCTACCATGACTTGCTCGAGAAGCTGCGCCAGGAACCGCTTCCGGTCAGTCACAGCGACGTCGGGCCCGGGATCTTGTCTCCTAGCGACGTCGAGTACACCGTGTTTCACGCGCTGTACGCACCGTCGACTTGGTGCGCTCCGCTTCTCCTTCCCTGTTCCGCCTCCAATCTGACCACCGCCGCACGACAGGCCGAACCTGGCGCGCCTTCTCGTCGAGACTGAGCGTGGCAACGGTACAAGCATGTACGCGACCGCCAACGTCGCCTCCGGCAAGCTCGCTCGAAAAGATCCCGCTCGCCACAACCCTTTCCACCGCGCCATGTCGACCGGCTCGATCATCGCCTCGACCGCCGCGATCATGTGCAGCGATACGGACCCTGAGGCTCTGCGGGACTCCTCGACTAGGACGCTTGGCGAGTACATGCACGACTTGCGCAAAGAGACGAAGAGTCCGACTGCCGACATCTGGGCTATCTGGATCAGCACATGTCGGCACTGGAAGGCAAAGGCTATCGAGACGTACCGAGGTGCGTGGTCAAGCTACTCCAGGTGAATTGCTGCTGATGTTCGTCTTCACAGGGCCTTGGACAGTTGCGGGCGGTTTGAAGAAGACCAAGTTCGTCTCGCTCACGCTTCCCCGCCGTCAATCTTGCTGACCCCCCACGACAGCTTTCCCATCATCTTTTTCTCGCAAACGGCCGACCCTGTCACGCCACTCAAGGCGGCCGAGAAGATGGCCGCTGGCTTCGGCAACTCGTCCGCGACGCTCGTCAAGCAGAACGGGTGAGCGTCCCCTCCAGCGCTCTCCTACTTCCTCAGGCTTACCTGGTACGCACGCACGCAGGTTCGGCCACTGCTCGCTCGCCCATCCCTCGCTCTGCACAGCCAAGATCTTCCGCTCCTACTTCCTCGAGGGCAAAGTTCCCGCTTGGAACACGACCTGCGACTCGGACGACGGCTTCCTGTTCCCGCACCCGAACGCTAAGGTCCAGGAGGTCGAGGCATTGTCAGCGGAGGACGCGGCGCTGCGGAGGCAGATGTGGGACTTGAGCCAGTCGTTCAAGGAGGCGCGGACAGCTCCGCTGTAGAGTGTAGAGAGATAGAATGGCAGTACATAAGGTACAACACGAGCTCTCTAAGCGCTACAACCGCGAGTCCAACGACTACAGCCAGATCCGACAACCGGAGATGCGAGACCCAGTCTCACACCTTCCGCTTCTTCTTCGCCGGCCTCTCCTCCTCCTCGTTCTCCTCCGCCGGCTCCTCAACCTTCTTCACCGCCTTCTGCGACTGTTTCCCAAACAAGTCCTTCAAGCTCTTCATCCCCTTGGTGTTGACCTTCTTGAGCGCCTCGACACCCCTACTGCCCTTGGACTGCTCAGCCTTGCGCTTCTTCGCTGCCGCACCGCCGCCCAGCTCGCCGGAGAAGGAGGCTTCGAGTTTTGCGGCGCCGCGGCCGGGCAGGTAGGTCGAGTTGAGGACGGACGAGTTGGTCGTGGTTGAGAGGTGGGCGTCCAGCGCCGAGAAGCTGGAGATAACGAGGGGTCAGCGATGAAGCGCCAAACAGGGCGAGTTTGAGCTTACGAGTACGAAGGGAGAAGAGCCTTTGTAACGGAAGGCGGGAGGTAGTTCGCCAGAATGCCGATGGCGTACTTCTGCCGCGACTCTGTGAGCGAACGATGGTCAGCGAGACGTCCGTAGACTAGGCTACGAACGCTCAACCCAGAAGCGAAACGCACCAGTCTGGATCTGCTCGCTCAACCCATGCCCGCTTCCAACGTCCTCCTTCGCCATTCCCCTCCTCACAGTCGAAAACTTCTCTACCTCCACTCCAGCATCGCCCGCCTCATCCGCCTTGGGCTTGACCTCCTCCCCAGGCTCGGTCGCCTCGAGAGGTCCGAAGATACCGTGGACTGGGTCAACGAGTGAGTCGACCCTCGAGCGAAGGAAAGAGAGAACGAGAGGTTGAGAGAGTCGGTAGAGAGTTGTTGACTCGTGTTCTGCGGAGGGTAGACGTTAGTAACGAAGGCCGGCAGGAAGAACAGAGGAAAAGGACGCACCCTGCGTCTCGCACACCGTCCTCAGCCTCTCCTGCACCCCCTCCATCGCTCCCAACCTCCCCAAATCCTCTGCGAACTCCGCCCCCTCATCTTCCTTCCCGCCTTCCTCCTTCTTCGAACCCTGCACTTCGAACCGATGTTGCGCGATCGATTCCCATAGGTCGGGGTAGCTTTGGAAGCGCGAGGGGAGAGCGGAGAGGTAGGAGATCGTGAGGTAGATTGGGTCGATGGGGGAGAAGAGGGTGAGGGAGCCGTCTGCGTGAGGAACGAGGAGGTCAGGAGCGAGTCTCGCAGAGGGCGGGTCTAGGGGCAGCATACCGGACGCGACTTCCTCCTCGATGAACCAGCATCGTTGTTTGTCCGCATCCAGCTCGATCTTCTGAACCTCGAGCAGGCCGTCCAGCGCAGCAGAACCAGTCCGCGAGTAAGGGAGGAACAGGGCAGGGTGGTCTGCGGAGCGTGCAGGAGGTCAGCTAGGGCGTGTGGAGCACGAAACAGAAGCTACACACGGGTACGAGGGTGCGGCAGGCGCAGGAAGCGCGATCCAGTCGACGAGGCAGGGTCGCCCACTTCGAGCTGCATGCCTGCGAGAAGAAGAGCTTGTCAGGCCCGCCTGGTACGAGAGAACGCGTCCAGCGTACCTTTCGGCAAGATGCAGACGTGCTTGCGCTCCATGGCGGCGTGTGAGGCGGACTGGCAACTCCGCGAGACGGTGAGGGCGCGGAGCGGCGCGAAGTCGTGGACAGGGGCGACGAGCAGGGCTTACCTTTCTCTCGCGGGACAGCCCATAGAACAGCAGCGTAAGACTAGCAAGGAACTAGGAGCCGCAGGAAGAGGTGTCCGATTAGACGCAGCCTCCTCGCAGGCGGAGAGCCTGCGCACTGGACCGGCGAGTCTGCGCCAGGACAGCTAGACATTGCCGCTGTAACATGCCGTGTGTCGAGAGTCTTGAGCCGAACACGTGCACGAGGTCGGAAGACTGAGGTGACCAGCAGAGGCGCCGCGTCTGGCGGACAGCGAAAGGCGGTGGAAGTCAAGTCGAGCGAGGCGTGCAGCTCCTCCCTGCTGCGACCGACTAGCCTCCGCCCTTGTGAGCCTGCACACAACATTACAACCCTTGCCGGACGAGGTCTACCGCTCCATGATCCGACTCGGGCGAGAGAGAAGTCGATCCACTCGTTCCTCAGTGGTGCTCGGTGCCGTGTCCTTTCTTTGCTGCGCCGACCGTTTCGTCGTAGGCGACGTATGCTGCGAACGCGACAACGGCGATACCGAATCCGGGGAAGATGTTGCGGAACCTGTTGCCCGAGGAGAGAGGTCAGTTCGGGGTCGAGTGAGGCAAGCGTCGTGCCGTAGGGAAGGCGGGAGGAAAGAATGGAGGGGGCAGAGACGGACATTGCTCGTGTGGAAAAGATGGGGTGCTGCGGTTGGGCGACAGGGTCAGCTTTCGCTCGGAGGAGGGGGGAGGTGGAGAGTCGGAGGAGGATGCGCACCTTCCGCCACGCCTCGCGCTTCGCCCAGGGGTCTGTGAGCAACGCAAAGGAGCCCTGTGAGTCACTGAGCACGAAACCAGTCCAGCGCGGAGGGTGTAGCCGGGTCGGAGGGAGATGAGGAGGGGGTGGTCGAACCTCGGTACAAGGGCTGGTCGGGCACTGCGGGCGTGTGCGGTGGATCAGTCGTGCGCTGTGAGCTATTCTGACAGGCTACTCACTCGTTCAGGGGCAGAGGCTGGCGTCGTGAGAGCGAGAGTGTCCCCAGGCGAGCCCAATCTCGCTAAGTCCCCTCCTGCATGCTCGCAGGGCGGGTGAATCTCGCCGCCAGAAATCTCGTGAGGCCGTTACGAGTCGAGCTGGGCTGCTTGCACGCCCGTCTGAGCGTTCCCACCCGTCCACTTGCGGGACTTGACCGTTTTTCGCCCTCTGCCCTCGTCACCCGCCTCGCTCACTCGCACTCTCGCCCGCTCGACGCCGTGCACGCCATGAGCAAGCCGTACAAGAAGCGTGTCATCCAGGCCGACTCGGACGAGTCCGACAACGACCAGCCAGAGGTGCGTACAGCTCTCCCACCCGCGCTGCCACTCCGCGCGACCTGCGAGACGAAACGAGCGAATGCTCCGCGTCGACCACGCGTTCGGGGCATGTGCAGCGCGGCAGTGCGTGAGAAGGATGCACAGGGACTGACTGAGCCGGTCCGCGACACAGTTCAAGCGCCCCAAGGCCGCAGACGACACTGTTGATCCCTCGACAGGCGCTCCTGCCAATGCCGCTCCCATTGCTGTCCCGAACGGAGACGCCGTCAGTGGACAGGTCGACACCGTCATGAACGATGCGACGGCCGAGGCGCTCGACCCCAAGGCGAAGCAGCTCGCCGTCTTCACCACCGGCGAGTCGGACAGCGAGGACGACATCCCGCTCGCACAGCAGGCCGCCGCCGCAGGTGTCGCAGTGACGGAGGGCAGCGGTGCGAACGGGAAGAAGCGCGCCGCGTCCGAGTCGGACAGCGAGGACGAGAAGCCGCTCGCTCAGACGGCTGCTGGCAAGAAGCGCTCGAACGGCCGCGCCGCTTCGAAGGACTACTCGTCCTCTGAGGACGAGAAGCCTCTCGCCAAGACGGCAGCCAAGTCGAAGCGTCCGAGGGCGTCGACGAGCCGCGCCAAGAGCGTGAAGGAGGAGTCGGAGGAGGAGGAGGATTTCTCGGAGACGGAGGACGCGAGCGACGACTATTCGAGCGGCTCCGACACTCCCCTCGCCAAGAAGAAGAAGGCACCCACGAAGGGCAAGGGTAAGGCGAAGGCTGCGCCCGCCAAAAAGGCGACTCCCGCGAAGAAGGCGGCGCCGAAGAAGCCGAAGAAGGAGGAGGACGAGGGATCTGCCTCGCCTGCTCCCAGGAAGGGCAAGGGAAAGGCGAAGAAGGAGGACGACGAGGAGTCGAGGGAGGCGGGCAGCGGCGACGAGGATGTCTACAAGTGGTGGGAGAACCAGAACGACGGCGAGGAGAAGGTGCGTCGAGTTCGCTGTCTCTTACAGAAGCATCGACTCACCTGCTTCATGCCCACAGTGGAAGACGCTCGAGCACCACGGCGTCCTCTTCCCTCCCGAGTACACCCCTCACGGCGTCAAGATGAACTACGACGGTGCGCTCGCCTCGATGCTTCCCTGAACCTTCCCAAGCTGACGACTTATCCCGCTTACAGGCAAGCCCGTCGAGCTCGCTCCCGAAGCCGAGGAGGTCGCCAGCTTCTTCGCCGCCATCCTCGAGACCGACTACGTCAAGAACCCCGTCTTCGTCCGCAACTTCTTCGATGACTGGCAGAAGGTCCTCAAGGCTCACCCATGCGTGCGTCGCGCTCCTCTCCTTCGCACAAGTCGTCCTGACGCTGTTCTCATACGTAGCCCGACGGCACGAAGATCAAGTCGTACGAGAAATGCGACTTCAAGCCGATCTTCGCCTACCTCGAGGCGGAGAAGCAGAAGAAGAAGTCGATGACGGCGGCGGAGAAGAAGGCTGCCAAGGCGGAGAAGGACGCGCTGGAGGAAAAGTTCAAGTGGTGCTACCTTGACGGCAGGAAGGAGAAAGTTGGGAACTTCAGGATTGAGCCGCCCGGCTTGTTCAGGGGTCGCGGCGAGCACCCGAAGACGGGCATGCTCAAGGTGCGTAACCCTCTTCTCCTGCGTCTCCCGCTTGAAGCTGACGGCTTCCTCGCCTCGCAGACTCGCGTCCGCCCCGAGCAGATCACGATCAACATCGGCAAGGGCGTCGAGGTCCCGCCTCCTCCGCCCGGCCACAAGTGGCACAAGGTTGTCCACGACAACAAGGTCACCTGGCTTGCGACGTGGAAGGAGAACATCAACGGTAACGTCAAATATGTCTTCCTCGCCGCCGGCTCTTCCCTCAAGGGCCAGAGCGACCTCAAGAAGTTCGAGAAAGCTCGCAGCTTGAAGGTGCGTGCGATCAGCTTCTCTCGCAGCAGCGCCGCCGCTAGCCCGCTCCACCCGCAGGAACACGTCGACCGCATCCGCGCCGACTACACCGCCGACCTCAAGTCGAAGGAAATGGCGACCCGCCAGCGCGCGACGGCCATCTACCTCATCGACCGCTTCGCTCTCCGTGCCGGAAACGAGAAGGGCGAGGACGAGGCCGACACGGTCGGCTGTTGCTCGCTCCGCTTTGAGCACGTCACCCTCACCCCGCCGAACAAGGTCACGTTCGACTTCCTCGGCAAGGACTCGATTCGTTACGTCAACGAGGTCGAGGTCGACGAGCAGGTGTTCAAGAATTTCAAGATTTTCAAGAAGGAGCCCAAGACCGTCGGCGATTTGCTCTTCGACCGTCTTAACGTGAGCACCCTTCCTTTCGCTCTTCCACTTACGGCACTGATGTCTGCCATTTCCGCAGACCTCGGTCGTCAACAAGTACCTCACGTCGTACATGGACGGCCTCACTGCCAAGGTCTTCCGTACCTACAACGCCTCGTGGACCTTCGCCCAGCAGCTCAAGAACACCCCCGCCGACGCCTCGGTCGCCGACAAACTCCTCGCCTACAACCGCGCGAACCGCCTCGTCGCCGTCCTCTGTAACCACCAGAAATCCGTCTCGAAGGGTCACTCGGCTGCGATGGAGAAGATGCACGACAAGGTGAGTCCGGCCCGCACTGGCTGCGGCAGTCCCGCTCATGCCTCGTCGCGCAGATCCGTGCTCTCAAGTACCAGCGCATGAAGCTTCGCAAGCAGCTGTTTGCGAACGCCGACAAGCCGAAGAAGCACAAGCAGGCTTACGGCGACGACGAGGTGTGTTCACGCGCTGGGATCCCGCTATCTTCCGCTCTGCTGCTCGCAAACATGCTGACATGCGCGTCTCAGTCGGACCTCGACGACGAGTGGATCCAGGAGCACGAGAAGGCTCTTGTCGTGCAGGAGCGCGACAAGATCCGCAAAAAGTTCGACAAGGAGAACTCGAAGCGCGAGGCGGATGGGGAAAAGATCATGCCGGAGAAGGAGCTCAACGAGCGCCTGAAGGCGGCGGATGCGCTCGAGAAGAAGATCAGGGCGGAGCGTAAGGCCGGGTACGAGGAGTCGAGCCAGTCTGAGGACAAGCTCCTCAAGGCTCTCGAGAAGCTTGACGACCGTATCAAGGTCGCCAAGACGAACCTTGTCGACAAGGACGAGGGCAAGGGTGTGTTTGCGCAATTCACCTTTTTCTTCGGATCCTCGAAGCTGACCTTCCGCCTCCTCACCTCTCCTCGCCTCCTTCACTACCCCTGACTCGCAGAGATCTCGCTCGGCACTTCGAAGATTAATTATATTGATCCTCGTACTTCATCTGTCCAGTTTTCCAGCCGGAACGATGTCGCTGACCGCGACTCGCGCTCGCAGGAATCTCGGTCGCCTGGTGCAAGAAGTTCGACGTCCCGCTCAACAAGGTCCTCACGAAGACGCTCCTCGAGAAGTTCACGTGGGCCACGCACGTCGAGGCCGACTTTGAGTGGTAGGCGTCGTTATCGCCGTCGAAGGAGGAGGGAGAAGGGGGAGGTCCGCTTGATCGCATCGCTTCGCTTGGGTTCGCTTGTCTTTTCGCCTGTTCTCGTCAGTCTCGTCTCGTTCTACTGGGTTGTACAGCCCCTCCAGCATACCCCCTCTGCACACTCATCGTTCCTCACACCCGTACACTCGCATCGCCCGTCGCTTCCTCTCCTCGTCGCTTGTTCCGCCCCCCGTAGCATTTTACCCGCGTCTCTCTCTCGCTTCATGTGCAATGTACTTTGCAACCATTCCGCAGCGCTGCATTTGTCGCAGAGAGTTCACCTTTGCGTGCGAGACGGTGCGGAGCTGTCGGCCCGCCTCCTCCTTCCTCTCGCCGGGTCCCCACCTTCGCTGTCAAGTCCTGCTGCTCAGCTGTGCACTCGCTGCTGCTATTCGACGACATGCAGGGCAGTCCCGACGCTGGACCGTCCGCTTTGAGGATCACGACGCCCGCTCCTCCTCCCGCCGAGACGATCGCTACCGGAGCTGGTTCTGCTGAGCCCGAGCGAAGGAAGGGTACGAGGGGCGCCAGGGCTTGCGTACGCTGCCGGAGGATCAAGAAAACTGTGCGTTCGCTTGTTCGCCCCTCTCGTCCTCGCCGGCTGACCTTGTTTTGTCCGGGTCGCGAAACGGGACAGTGCGAAGGAGGGTCGGCTCCCTGCGTCAGGTGCAAGCAGGCAGGCGCAGAATGCGTCTTTGACAAGCCTGCGTCCAGCGTCGTCGAGGATGCGTGAGTTTGCGCCTCTACAAACTCCCTCTCTCGCAGAAATGGCGACTGACCGGTTCTGCTCTCCTGCAGCGGCTTGACGCGGTTGTCAGCTATCGAGGCGGCACTTGCGACGAATGAGCGCAGGATGGATACGCTCGTGCAGCAGATGGGCGAGGTTACGAGTGCGTTTCTTCTCCTTGCGCGACTTCGACGGTGTCCTGACCCTCACGTTCTCCAGACGTCCTCATGGAAGTCGTCGGGCGCTTGAAGCAATACGGCGGCAGCCAACCCGGCCAGAGTCCCGCCGCTCTCCCTTACCCGCCCAATCAAGTCTCTCCTTTCGGCAGCGGACTCGACACTTCCGGCTTCCAACATCCTACTCCGCCCTTCGGTCGTCCTCGACCTCTTTCCGCCGGCTCTCCTGGGCTCTCGTCTCTGCCCAACCTCGCGGCTGCCGCCGCTTTCCGCACCTCACCCATTACGAGCGGCTCACCAGGCTTCCCTCGCCCGCCGAGCAATCCCAGCTCGTCGCAGATTTCGGCGCTCGATGCGCTCGCACATCTCGCATCTTCGAACTCGCCAGACGTGCACCGCTTTGCGTCTCGCGTACGAGCACCAATCTCGGCCCTCCAAGATGCGGTCGCAGAGATGGGCGATGAGGCGGAGACTAAGTCTGATGAGCTGCTGGGGGAGAAGCCTGAGACGATGCAGAAGCAGGAAACGTCTCAAGAGAAGGACGACGAGCGGCCTGCGAAGAGGAGCAGAGTTGCGGTTCCTACTGCACCGACATCGCCGGACCAGTTCGACTTGGTTGCGAAGGGCCTGATAGGCGATAAGGAAGCGCGCGCGCTCGTCCTGCTGTGCGTAACGGGGTTTTTTTTTTGGGTCGAGGGTGTCGGGCTGACAAGTTATGCACGCAGATGGATGAAGGAATGTGCGAATTTCTGCGCCGTCCTCGACCAGAACTACGATACCTACGAGTCGCTGCGCAAGCGCTCGCCCTTCCTCTTCAACACCGTACTCTACACGGCCTTGAGAGCGCAAGAACGCTGCTCCGCGCCGTCGAAGGAGCTCGTCGCCGCAGCGGAGGAGACGCGCCGATTCGCCCGCAACCAGGTCTTCGAGAGCAAACCGTCTCTCGAGTCGATCCAGGCCACGATGGTGCTCGCTTGCTACCACCAGCAGCCGTACATCCTATCGGGAATGGCGCTGCGACTCGCACTTGCCGCCAAACTCGACACCTCGTTCGAGCAGCTCGAAGCACACGGTTGGCATCAGACGGACGAGAAGGCGCGACGGCTTACGGCGCAGCTGCGGACGTGGATCTACATCGTCACGCTCAATGCGCAGCACGAGCGGAACCTCGGTGTGATGAGCCTGATGCGGCAGGAGGACGTGGACGCGCTCGTCGACCGAGCCGACCGCGCGCTCTCCCTCCCGCATGCCATCGGAACCGACTACCGCCACATCGCCAACCTCCGCCTCTGCTCGATTGTCCGCGTCATCATGCAGGACACGGCAGCCATGGCGCAGCGCCCCGAATCGACCGCCGACCAAATCGCCTACTTCTACGAAAAGGCACAGCTCCTCAACGACTGGTACACGCACTACGACCAACTCATCGCTTCGTACCAGCCGTCGCCTCTCGCGTGGGCTCGCCGAAGCCATAGTCGAATGTACCACGACGCGAAACTCGGCCTTCTCGCCAGCATCTTCAAGCAGCGACTGTTCGATCCGCCCGCGACGGAGACCTTTGAGATCACGCGGATGGCGCAGGAGGCGCTTTCCGACGCTCGAGCGGCCTTGCAGATGGTCCTCGGATCGCCCGTCTACCGCAGCGGGACGCAGTGGAGTGGCTACCTCCTCCGCACCGACATGTCGTTCGCCTGCCTCTTCCTCCTCAAGTCCGGCGCCGCCTTCCCGCAACTCGTCGATCGGGAGCAGGTTGCCAAGGACGTGCAGCAAGTCGCGGAGCTGCTCTCGAACGTCGCAGGTTCGCAACGTTACGCTGCGATGCTCCTGTACGTGTCGAAGAAGTCTTTTCCTGAACGCGCACTGATTCGTCAACTTCTTGTGCAGCGCTGCTCGCGAACAGTACCTCGAGCGAACCGCCCCTCCGCCTGAAGTTTCCGCCGTCTCCGATCTTGCGACGGCGAACGGTCCGCCTGCAACGTCTACCGCAAACGAGCATTACGCGGCGCAGCTTCCCACACTCTCGCAGCCCCTCGAGCACTGCAGCAACGGCACCCTCTCCGCCTACAGCTCCATTCCCGTACCAGCCAACATCCCTGTCGGCGCTGCAGGCTCGTCGAGCGTCCCGCAAACGCCCTTCTCCGCCCTCGGACTGACCGGGAACGGTGGTGGGGGCGCCGGGATGGCGCTCATGCCGGGCGAGATGGACTTTGACTGGTCCATCGCGATGCCGCAGTCTCTCTTCGACGACTCGCTGCTCTCGCAACACGACTGGATGGCGACTGTAGGGAACCCGCCGAATTGGTTCGATAACCTATGAGGATGCGCAATGTGAAGTTCTTGCACCAGGCGACCGAAATTCCTGCAAGCGCGAGTCGCGGTCAGCGACATCGTTCCAGGTTGGAAAGCTGGATAGGGCACCCATGAGGATCGAGGTAATTAATCTTCGAAGTGCCGAGCGAGACCTCTGCGAGTCAGGGGCAGTGCAGGAGGCGAGGAGAGGGGAGGAGGCGGAAGGTCAGCTTCGAGGACCCGAAGGGAAAAGCGACTCGCGCAAACACACCCTTGCCCTCGTCCTTGTCGACAAGGTTGGTCTTGGCGACCTTGATGCGCTCGTCAATCTTCTCGAGAGCCTTGAGAATCTTGTCGGACTGGCTCGACTCCTCGTCGCAGCCGCCGTCGCCCTCGCTCATCGTCGTCGCTCTCGCTCGCTAGCACTTTCCCTCGACTGCATGGATCTAACGGACACATAGACATATTGCACATGATACTGACGGACGGCGATAAAGACTTGTCAAGATACATACCCTTCGTTTCTGCTTTGATTTCCCTAGCACGCCACCGGGACGATGAGCGTCTGCGGCGCTGCGACCTTGATGTGATCCTCTGCCCAAGTGCGCGCCATGGCGAACGAGGCGGTCACTTCCTGTACGGCGCTCGCGAAGTCGGCGTCGTGCAACGCCTGCGCGGAGGGGTTGATGGCGGACAGCCAGCCGAGTAGCGTTGACACGAGCACCTGGAAGCCGTTGAGACTGCAGCAAAGAACGAAGCATCAGTTTCTCGGACCGAATAATCGATGCGAAAAGCGAGACGAACTCCATCAAGCGTTGGTAGCTGCGGGGACAGACGAGTCAGCACGTGGGTAAGGAGGAAATGGCAGACGACGCACGTCTTTGAACCCCGGTGCTCACGGAAGAGCGCCTTGCTGACGGCTTCGACATCGGTCTTGGCCTCCGAGTCGTCCTCGCCGTACTTCTTGACGAACTCAGCGAGCTTGTCGGCGTTCTCTTTGCAGAGCTTGTGGTGGAGCTTGAAGCCGATCGAGATCTCCCTGCATGCGAAGATCTGGGTGAGCAAGGCGGACCACCGCCGAAGAGACGAGAGTAGAACGCACTTCTCGTCTGCATGCTTGTCGGAGAGCTCCCACATCTTGTCGAGCACAACCTTCGAGAAGAGGTCGTACTGCGGAGCGAGTTGTGAGCGAGGCGTATCGTCGCAGAGGACGAAGGAGGCGCACCTCGCCGAGGATGTCCTCGAGGTGACGGTGGTGTTCCTCAATCTTGTGGTCATTCGTGTTCTGCTCCTTGAAGCTTTTCGCGCGATCCTCCTGCGCTTTCCACTGTCCCGACTTGGCGTGAATTTGGACCCCGCCCTCGACCTTGCTGATGCGAACGGAGCCGGTCTGCGCACGCAGGCGTGAGCGTCTCCTGCATCTCAAGCGATGAGCAGGGAACGCACCTTGAAGATGGGCTGCTTCGAGATGAAGTCCCAGGTGCACTCGGTGAGCTCATTTGCGCTGCGGGCGCGAACCTCCTTGCCGCCCTCGTTGTCTTGGTCGGCAGCACCCTGCGAAGCAGTTGCGTCAGCTTTGTTGAGGCTCGAGAGAAGAACAATGGCGCACGTAATGGAACGGCACAAAGAGGTTGCCCTTTGCGATCTCGCCGACTTTGGCGGCCACCTCGATCGAGCCGCGCTTCGCCTCGACGAGGCACATGTCGCCTTGCTTGATGCCGAGCTCCTTTGCGTCCTCCTCCGAGATCTGGACGAACGGCTCAGGCGCAGCATCCTCGAGCTCCTTCGACCTGCCGGTCTTTGTGCGAGCTGTTCGAGGAAGAGAAGTCAGCTTGGGCAGCGAGGACCAGCGTCAACCGGGACGACTTACTGTGGAAGTGAGCGTAGATGCGGCCCGTGCTGAGCCTGAAAGGATACTCCTTGTCGGGCGTCTCGTTGTGCGGCGTGTAGTGGCAGGCCTTGAGGATGGCGCGGCCGTTCGGGTTCATCGCCTTGTACGCCTGCGGCGAGATGACGGTCCCGGTGAACAGGTCGTGACCGTAGGACTCGACCATGTCAAGCGTCGTCGGGAACTTGTAGTCGGTGTACAGGCGCTCCGTGCCGTTCGGGTTGAGCTCGTTGCAAGGCCATTGGACGCCGCTGCCGCCGGTGAGCTCTGCGAGACCGGGTCAGGTTCGGATATTCCAGAGTGTAGTCGGTGAACGTACTGGCGTGGCTCAAGCCGGTGTAGTCGACTGGGCGACCCTGAGCGATGGCGAGGAGGATCAGCTTGGCCTTCTCAAGCTCGACTCGAGAGACGATGCGTACCTTCGTTGACTTTGCCCAGTGGTCGAACGCCTTCTCCGGCTCGTCGACCCACGGGATGAGGTCGTTGCCGTCCTGTAGAAGAGCGGGATCAGCTCTGGTCCGCAGAATCAACCTCTCTTGCGGATGCGCCAAGCTAGAGTCTGCTGTGGGAGAGTACCGGCCATACAGAGCGACAAGCCATTGGTGAAGGCTCAAAGAGACGCTCACCTTGTCCTTGAAGCCCATCCTGCGACCGTACTCGGAGAAGATCTTGAGGTCGGACCAAGCTTCGCCAGGCGGGTCGACCGCTTTGTAAGCGATGTGGACGGTACGGTCGACATTGGTGAAGCAGCCGGTCTTTTCCGACCACTGCCTCGCGGGAAGGACGACGTCGGCGAGGGCTGTCGTCTCGGTCGGGAAGATGTCTTGCGCGACGATGAAGAGGTCTTTGCTCGTGAAGAGGCGGCGGATGCGGGCGAGGTCGGGAAGTGAAACGGCCGGGCTGCGCGAATCACGAAGCTGAAGGTCAGCAAGTCATGCGTAGAAACAGGAGGAGGAGGCGAGTATGAAAGCCAGACGGAGGAGGGTTCGGCTCACTTTGTTCCCGAGATCCACAGCTGGAGACAAGCGAGAGAAGGGAGCGTCAGTGAAGAAGAGTGATGGACGGGATGCGCGATACGCACCATCTTGATCGAGCCGTTTTCGATGAACTTGAGCAGGCTCATGACATGCGTCGGCTGTCCCCAGTGCGGTATCTGATTGACATCGCTGTATAGAAGGAGCATCAACGATTGCTCGGAGATGAAGAGGACGGCCGCAACGCACACGTTCCAATGCTTCGCCAAGTCCTTCATGTGGTCCGGGTTCGAGGGGTTCTGCAGGCCGCAGATATGGACCGTCAGCTACTGCCGCATACCTTAACGAGCACAACGAGCGCAAACCCCGGACGAGAGGAAAGGAAGCACGATGGAAAGCTCACCCGGAAACCAGGGAACTCGCCATCGCATCCGCACTCGCGGTTGTTCTGCAGGACGAGCGGGTGAGCTCTCAAACGCTGTCGACAGAGTTTTGAGGCGCACCTGAGCGGTAGGCTGCCCGTTGAACTGGAAGACGCTGGCGCCTTCGCGGCCGATCGCGCCCTTGATCAGGTTGATGTTGTTGACGGCGCATGCGGATGCGGTAGCCTGGTTCGATTGGCTGCAGAAGGCGTGATCAGTACGGGTTCCGAGACTTGAACGAAGCAGAAAGGAAGCGCACTAGACGCCCTGAAGACAGGTGCTGACGAGGCGCTTGCTGCGACCGATGGCTTCGGCAGCGCGCTTGATGCTGTCGGCCGGAACGGCGGTTATCTCGGCGACGCGCTCGAGGGCGTAGTCCTTGACCGTGTTGCGGAGAGCGTCGATGCCGATCGTGTGCTTCTCTGCGGGTCGGTCCTTCGTACTTTAGATCGGGTATTCCGGGTCGGGGCAAGGAACGGTCGACGCACCGATGAACTCCTTGTCGTGGAACTCGTCGTTCTCGAGGAGGACCTTCAGGATGCCGTTGAGCAAGCACAAGTTGGTGCCCGTCTTGACAGGAAGGTGTATCCCGCCGTTCTCGATCGCGGCGCGACCGACCGAGGTCTGGCGCGGGTCCATGACGATGAGGAAGGGAGGGTTGGGGCCAGCGAGGCGGTCGAGGATGCGGGACCACAGGACGGTCTGCGTCGCGGCCATGTTGTGCCCGACCATGAAGAGCGTGTCGCAGTGGTCCTGCGGAAGCGAGAGTCAGCGGGGTGTCCTTGCGGGAAGCGCGAAGAGCCACGCACAAAGTCGGTGTACGAGCCAGGCTGGCCGTCGCAGCCAAAGCTCTCGCGCATTGCGGCCGCAGCAGTCGCGGTGCAAAGACGGGTGTTTCCGTCCATGTGAAGGGTTCCGAGGCCGGCCTTGCCAATGAGGGCGAGCGAGTGGTACTCTTCGAGGAAGAGCTGGCCGGAGGTGTAGAAGGCGATCGAGTGAGGCGTGTACTTCTCGCACAGCTCCTTCGACTTCTTGACCATGAGGTTGAGGGCGTCGTCCCACGAAGCGCGCTCGAGCTGGCCCGTCTCAGGGTTGCGGATCATCTGTTGGAGAGGTGGGCGTCAGTGCGAGGGCTTCAAGCGAGCCGATGGCGGACGTACGGGATACTTGAGGCGGTCCTCCGCGTTCATGCTGACCCAACCGTACATTCTGCGGACCAGACGACATCAGCAGTCGTGCAAGATTGCTAGCGAGATTTGAATGCACCCTTTCGGACCCAAACGACCCTTGTTGACGCGGTCCTGCTCCCTCCCCTTGACCGCAACGATCTTGCCGTCCTTCACGCCGACATCCATGGCGCAGCCGTTCGAGCAACTGACAGAGTTCTTCGTCAGCTCTCTCGTCACTTTCAAGCGAAAGGAAAGAACCCACAGAACGCAGCAGGACTGCACCCATTTCTCAATCTTCTCCTCCGGCCTGCGAAGTGATCTCGTCAGCTTCGCCCCTCCTGCTTCGTCCACTGCCTCGCTCGTACGCACTCGATGAACACCGAGTCGACCCTCGGCTCCCATGCCTCCTCGTCCCCGTGGAACGGCTTCCGTTCTCCCCAGATCTTGTCCGGCTCGTAGGACTTGCGCGACTCCTTCAGCTCGCTGCCATAGTGCTGGATGGGGTAGAGCGTGCGCTTGGGCATGCTGGTGCGGCAGCAGCGTGTGGCAGGAGGAGAAAGCGAGCGCGCAAGGACAGCCTGACGCCCCCACCCCGAGGCCGCAACGGACCCGCTCAAGCTCTCGAGACCAGCGGGCGATCAGCCGAACATAGCAGCGTCCCCGATTGGCTCGTACTCGCTGTTCTTGCCCGAGCAGCAGTGACGCGGGTGTCAAATCGCATCCCTCCGAAAGCGGAGGTGGGGAGGACGACCTCGGACAGCGCACACAGCGCGTCGCAGGACTCGCTGACACTGCCGTACCCTACTTCACTCACACAGCATGGCGGACGAAGTGCTGCCGACCGTCCCGAAGCTGGCTGCGCTTGTCCTGCTCGGCGGGAAGTCTTCCAGGATGGGCCGACCGAAGGCTCTCCTCCCGCACCCTAGAACGGGCCTGCCGCTGTACAAGCATCACCTGCGGGTGCTGGAGGAGCTCGAGCAGAAGGGCTTCTTCCCGGAAGGGGTCTGGGTGAGCGGGCGGGAAGACCAGCGGAACGAACTCGACTTGCCCGAGGTGCGTCTCCCGTCGCTCTTTCGAGGGTTTCCCGGCTGACATATAGACTCGATAGAGTGTTCATTATGTTGTTGACGACCCGGCGAAGAATGGCGACATCGGACCCGCGAGTGGCATCCTGCAGGCTTTCGACCAGAACCCCGAGGCAACCTGGCTTCTCCTCGCCGTTGACCTCCCCTTCGTCACTCGTTCAGCCATTCTCCACCTGCTCCAGTCTCATCCGGCAGACTCGCCTGTCTCGCTCTTCCTCCATCCCTCGGACGGCAATCCCGAACCGCTCTTCTCCGTCTGGACACCTCGCGCGCTCGCACAGCTGCGCGAGAACTGCAAGAAGGGCAAGAGCGGACCATGCAGGGCGGCGAAGGATGTCTGGGGCGGCAAGGTTGTCGAAGGACGCGGCGGTGTCAAGGTCCTCGAGGAGAACTGGGTGACGGATGCGGACACGCCAGAGGAATGGGAACGAGCGATTGCCTCGCTGTCTGCGGCCAAGGTGAGCTCGCGATACTTGAGCTTGTGCAGCCGATGACTGACAGCTTGCAGAACTGACTGCAGGCCGTCCCGCTTGCCGACTCGTCCATCCCGCCTACTCCTCCTGCTTCTCCGCCTAATTCTTCCACCTCTCTCCCCATCTTCGCGCCAACTCGTCGCAAACCTGTTTCTTTCGCCGCCGTGCATGAATGCATCTCCCGCCTCCAACCTCTCAAAGCCGACATCGCCTCCGCTCCTCCGACTCTCGACCGTGCAGACGACTCGATTGCCTCAGTGCCCATCGACCAAGCAGTCGGCTGCATCTCCAATTCTTCCATCTCTGCTCACTTCCCCCACCCACTGCACGACAACTCCGCTATGGACGGCTACGCGGTACCTTCCTCCCTCCTCTCCTCCGCCTCGCCCTCTTCTCCCGTCGAACTACCCGTCCTCGGTAGGATCGTCGCTGGCGACCCCCCTCCTTCACTCAAGGAGGTCGAAACAGCAGGAAAAGTGGGTTGCTGGGAGATCATGACTGGCGCTGTCTTCCCCTCGGACGATTTCGACGCTGTCGTCAAGGTCGAGGATACGTCGCACTCGTCAGGGTCAGGACGTCCCGTTGTCGTTTTCCAAGCGCCGATATCTGCCGGCCAGAACCGGCGAAGACGGGGTGAGCAGGTGCAGGCTGGTGAAGTGATCTTGCGGGAAGGCGAGCTGGTCTCGCCCGAGAAGGTCCTTCTTCTCGCAGCGACGGGCATCTCCAGCGTCTCCATACGACCATCTTCGGTCAAGCAGCCGCCTCAGCGAGGACGCGTCGGCATCATCACGACGGGGAAAGAGGTGATCCCGCTGTCCGCCCTCTCCTCCGCCGAACCTTCGCCAGGTCAAGTCGTCGACTGCACCACGCCCTACCTTTGCGCCCTACTGCGCTCGCGAGGGTACGAACCCATCGTCTTTCCCCGCTCGGGCGACTCGATATCCTCCTTCTCTGCCACCGTCTCCTCCGCCCTCTCCCACTCGCCTCCGCTCGACCTCCTCCTCACAACAGCCGGCGTCTCCCTCGGCGTGACCGACCACCTGCCGTCCACTCTGTCCTCCCTCGGCCTGCGCGAACTGTTCCACGGCGTCTCGATCCGACCAGGCGGACCTGTCATGCTCTCTCTGCACACGGACGAAACGACAGGACGAACGACGCCAGTGCTCAGCCTGCCGGGCAACCCGATGGCCAGCGCAGCGTGCATGCGTAGCTTTGGGTGTGCGATCCTTGCCCAGCTCGAAGGTAAGACGGACGAGTGGAAGAAACTGGAGGTCGGAGCGGACGACGAGGAGCGGGCGTGGGCAGACTTGACAAGCAAGATGCGGGAAGGACTGTCGAGCTTCTTTGCTCTGCCAGTGGACGGGAAAACGGGCGAGCCGAGTTTCGCGTGCAGGATGGTCGATGGGAAGCGGGCGGGTCCTTGTGCGGTGGGAAGTCTGGTCGGTGCAGACGCGTGGGTCAGGGTGGACGCAGGCGCGGACGGATCACGCGAGAAGTACTGGTGCAGTTTTTAGCATTGTTGCAGGATCGATATTTGTACGACAACATGACGAGCGAGAGAGAGACTAGCGAGAATCACTCTTGCTTCACAACCGCATTCCCTCGGACGACTACATGCCCCTCGCGCTCGAAGAAGACTGGTCGCCGTGCTTGGCGCTCCTCTTTCCGTTCTCGAGCGCTCTTCTTCGCTTGAGCGTCTGGCGTTGCCTCGGGCTCGGAGGAGGCGAGATGAGGGGAAGCAGGTAGGCGTCTTTGGCGACGGCAGGAGAGGCAGGTATGGACGACGAGATGACCGTGCGGTCCGGATGCTGCATAAAGGCAAGGTCAATTGCTGGAGAACGAGGAGGATGACCAGTACGCACGCTTGACGCGAACAGTCGAGGTAACACCCGGGACGAGGACAGTCGCGCAGCCCTGACAGACTGTCCGCTTGACAGCGGGATCCCTGCGAGCTCTCTATCAGTTTTGTGGAGATCTTGAAAATGCTGGGGAATAACGAACGCACATGCGAACCGTCGCCTTCTTCGCAACCTGCTTCATCTCCCGAGCAACATGCCGCGCAACGGGCTGAAGACCGCCGGTAGGGCTTCGATCCCGCTTGTGAGGTCGAGACATTGCCTCTCCAGCCTTCTGGACCTCGCTCGTCCCGTCCTCGCCGTCCTTGTCCTTCATCAGTTGATCGGGTGTTGAGACCTCCTCCTCGTCTTCTACCGCCCCTGCCCCCTCGTCCGACAGCCGTCGGCGTTTCCGTCCTTTTCTCTTCCGTACCGCGTCCGTCGCTGCGCCCGCAAGCGCCGAGTTGAGGAGAATCGAGGCCTGGTAGAGGTAGCTGAGTCGCTGGAGAGAGTCGCGCGAGATTACCGGCGTGGCTGCAGTCGGCTCGGCAGCCGTGTTGCGGCCCTTCTTGCCCATTCGAAGCGACCAGCAAGCAGCTCGAGGGAGCGGTAGAAGGTGAAGAAGCCACCTGGCACCTTGTCCTCACAGGTTGCCCTCCGCCAAATTCGACGAATTTGCGCCACGTCGATAGGCGGCTATACGAAGCTTTCAGACGTATGCTAGCGATGCTTTCGGCCTTTCCAGCATCCCCCACGCTCGACTCGCTCACGGACCCTCTCCTGCTGTGGCCTTCGCTTGTCGGCCTCTCCCGTGACGCTCTCCTGCTCTTTCCGCTCAGCTTGACCGCTCTCGACACCCGAAGATGCTCGCTCACCGCGCTACGACGGCTGCCCGCGCCTCCGGACTCGTCAGGCCCCTTCTCGTCCGCCTCGACTCTCCGGCTCAACTCGTTCTCTGACCCTCCCCGTCCTCGCGCAGGCTCTGCGCCACGCCCGCCAGTACCACGTCGAGAACAAAGTCAACAACAACTTCCCGTTCAAGTACGAGGGCAAGAGCAAGAGGCGTTTCACGGTCGGCTTCCTTGTCTTCTGCGCTTTCGGGTTTGGGACGCCCTTCCTCGCCGTCAGGTTCCAGCAGTGAGTCGAATCCGAGAAGATGTTGTTCAGTCGACTCAGCTGACGGGGTCTGTCGGGAACAGGAAGAAGGCCGCGGCTTGAGGAGCAGGACGGCGACGGGAGAAAAGTCACGGCAGGCGCGAGAGACGTAGCAAGTGCGCCCAAAACACGCGACGACGACCGCATTTCGGCGCTCGCCAAGCTCGCGAGAGGAAGGCAGTACCAAGGATGTCGCTCTGAAGAAACGGACCTCGTCCCCCTTCTCTGCATCCTTCGACTCGTCCCCTGACGAGCCGCTCGCGACGCTCAGTGACAGGCAGAACGAACTGTGCGTATTGCTGGCAACAAAGAGGGTACAGCTACAGGGACCGAGTACAGAGCCTAACTTCTACTTCTTGCGCTTGGTCGTCTTGCTTGCCGGCACCTTCGACGCGGTCGTCTTCCCGCCCGTCCGTCCCGTCGTGCCGCCCGCGTTCGCCTTGGCCTTCTTCGGCTTCGACGGTGCCTCAGCCTCGTCGTCGCTGTCAAGAACGACCACCTCGGTCGTCGACTTGCGCTTGGCACCGCGACCGCTCGTAGCGGCAGACGAGGCGGTCGCAACTGGCGGTGCGGGAGCTTGCCGACCCGTCGACTCGCCGCTGCCGGGTGCTGGTCGCTTGCGAGTATTGGCGTTGACGCCGGCTGCTTGAGCGATTGCTGCTGCCTGAGCTGCGGCAGCGGCCGATGCAGCGGCAGCGACGCTCCCGGCGTCGATGCGGCTCGCCAACATTCTCGTGACGGCCGTCGTGCGCCGATGGTCCCGCGCAGCGATCGACAATGTCGTGCAGGGCGTCTCGAAGTCGAAGTTGGTCTGCCTGCCGCGCTCGAAGTGCGACGCAGCCGTCGCGTTCGTGCCGGACGAGCCGGTGCTAATGGTGCTGACGGCATCGAGAGCGGTGACGGCGGGGATGGTCTCGATGATTTTGGCTCGGAAGGCAGCGAGGTCGATCGGGCCGGCGTTGATGAGCTGGAGAGGCGGTTGCGACGATTTGCGAACTAGCGCAGTCGAGGCCGACGACGGGTCGGTGTGGTCGAGAAGCTCCCAGGGGTTCGGAACGAGAGAAGAGGGAGCGTAGGGTCCGAAGAGGTGGGTGAGGCGAGAGAAGGTTGCGTCGGGGATGAAGTCGATTGCGAGAGGCGGGTTCGTGAGACTCGGGTTCAGGAGGGTCAGTAGGGTCGGAACGCGGACTAGTGCACTGAGATCGGGCAAGGCGTAGATGATGTGCGAGCACGCGTCGAGCAGAAGCGTCGAGAGCTGGAAGTCGCGGTTCGTCCCCTTGGACAGCGTCTGCGAAAGGTTCGTCAGTCTCCGTTTTAGCGGCCAGATTTGCTGCACACGCACTGCTGAAAGCCTGACCAGCGGCGCGAGGCAGTCACGGAAGAGCTCGGCGATGGTTCGAGGCGCGGGCAGCTTCGCACATCGCAAGGCGACCGAGACGAGGTGGACGAGGAAGAGGATGACCAGCTCCGCACTGGCCTCTTTGACGGTGCCGTCTTTGGCAGTCCGCCCGAGTTGTTCGAGGCAGATGCACGCCTTAATCGCCGTGAGAAGGCGTTCGATGGCGCTGTCGCGAGCCGCGAGCTGCCCGCCTTGCTGCAAGGTGTCGAGCAGTCCAGCGACGGTGCTGAGGGTACGAAGAGACTGCTCTTCGTCCTCGCGCGAGCCTGCGGACTGAGCGAGGGCGTCGAGTGCGTCCGCAAGACGATCGAAGGCGACGCTGACGAGCTGCAGGCCGAGCAGGACATCTCAGCGCGGAGTCAGCCCGAAGCACCCACGCCAACTCACCTCTTCGGAAGCTGCCCCGCCATCGTAGCAGCGAACAATCTGCTCGCCGAGGAAAGACTGGCCCGTCCCGCCGCAGATCCTGTCGAGGAAGTGCTCTGACAGCGTATGCATAGCCGCAGCCTTGTCTGCGGCGCTGATCGCAGTGTCCGACTCGAGGCGCTCGAGAGACGCTTCGACCTCGACCTTGGAGACCGCGAGGCGCCAGAGCGTGAGGCCGGAGAGGAAGACGTCCCAGTCCTCGGTCGAGACGAGGTTGGCCGGTGTAGCTGCGCGTGCGAGAAGTTCAGCTTAAATAGCAAGCAGAAGGAAAGAGCACGCACAAGCTCCTCCGTCCTTGAGCATTGCCAGCAAGCCGAGTAACAGCTTCGGTCGGAACGTCTCGATCTTCGGAATGCTCGCAAGCGCTGGACTCCTCAGCATGCCGTCCCTCAGCGCTTTCGGGTCGCGCGTAAAGAGCGTCTGGAGCTCCGGCAGCGCGCCGAGCTGGACGAGAAAGTCGGACGCTGGGCGTGCGAGATCCTCGACCGCGAGGACGTTCGCAACTTCCTGCTCGATGACGAGGAGAGAGATCGCTTGCGCGACGGCGGGGAGTGCTGCGCGAGTGCCGAGCGCGGTCCGACGAGAGTGCAGGCGTTGCTCGGAGGCGAGAGTTGCGGGTGTCGGAGGTGGCGTCTGGTCCGCCTCATCCGTCTCCATCGCATCTCTTCCGTCGCGAGATTGTGGAAGGGCGATGACGCTTGACAGGATCGCATGCGAGCACTGCAGGGCGCGGAAGACGGTCGGGTCGATCGATGCAGCGGCCGCTTCCGTCGAGGCGGTGAGTTGACTCAGAAGTGCTCGTCGCACGGGCAAAACCACCTTGTCGAGCACGAATGGCGCCGACAGGACGCCTTCGACGACGAGCCGGCCGAACAGCCCCGCGACCCTCGACCCGCCTTCGCCCCCCAGGACAGTCGCAGCCGCGGTCGCGCTCAACGATGCCGCCCACCGCACGACAGCCGGGCCGATCCCTGCACAGATGCGGTCGTGCACGGTCTGCAGGACGGCGATGGCTGGTTCGACGCCGTCAAGTTGAGGGAGGATGTGTAGGACGCTTTCGAGTGTCGCGCTGGCCCAATCTGGGTGGCTATGGTAGCGGAACCAGAGGGTCGATGCGAGCTGAGCGATGGCGACGTCGGAGGAGTCGACGAGGAGAGTCTGGATCTCCGGGAGAGGGGATGGGAGGGGCGGAGTTTTGGGGTTCGAGGCGGAAAGGGTCGAAGCGGGCGAGGGGAGCGAAAGGTTGCGCATCTCGGTATCGATCGTCTCCTTCGCTTGTGCGGGGAGATATCCTGCCGCAGCGAGCGACTGGAGGAAGGAGAGTAGTCGACGGCGATGCGGACCTTCGACTGCCTTCAGCGAGTCGAATGCACCTAGAACCGCTGTACCGAGGTCTGCGAGAACGTCGAGCGAACTCCAGACGTCGAGGTGTCCTTCGACGATGTCGATTATGTGCAAGACGACCGACGGCGGCGGCGAGAGCTGGAGGAGAACGAGGAAGAGCTGCGCGCGCTCCTCTCGTCAGCTTGCTCTTCCAGCTCGACTCGAGACCCCTGGCGCACCTGCAGAAGACCCGACCAATCCTGCGCGACCTCATAAACCGCCACAACAACCGCCATCTCCTCTCTTTCAATCCTCAACTTTCCCGTCTCCGGCTCAAGCCTGCTCGACAACCCCTCCGGCACCACATCGCGCGTCAAGACCCACTGCGATCCTTCTCCCGTCAAGGCACGGACCGTGTCGAACAAGGTGTCGCAAGAGGAGGTGGTGGAGAGTGGTGCGGAAGTGGGCGAGAAGACGAGTCGGTCGAGTTCGGTTCTGGCGAGTCGGATCCGCTCCTCCGTGCGCAACGCGCGCTCCACCCCTTCCTGTCCTCCAAGCGCAACTCGTCTCCTCGCTCCTCCGCCTCCAGTCGCAGCCTCCATCGCCACAGTCCTCAACATCCACAAATGGATCGACTCGACGGCCTCGTCCCCCGAAGAGGAGGAGAGAGGACGCTCTGTCTCGCCGCGGGCGATCATGCGCTGCAGATAAGCGCCATAGGAGACGACTCCCGCCCTGAGCAACTCCTCCAACAACGACCGCACCGACCCGCGCAGGGTCTGACTTCCTCCCTCCTCCGACGCAGCAAACCGCTCATCCACCCACTTGACGAACGCATCCTCCACACTCGGTACCCTCGCCTCACCCGGCGCCGAACGCGTAACCCTCCTCTTCCCGCTCGAGAGGCGGTCGATCTCGAGTGCGATGAGGCGCGAGACGGCGTACCGACGGTGAGGGGCTTGGAAAGGACGAGAAGGGGTGGCGGTTGAGTAGGTGAAGAAGAGGGGTAGGGCGTGTGCGAGCGAGAGGGGCGGGGCGGGCGGCGACGGGGTCGAGGAGGAGGGTTTCGAGGAGGACGCGAGTGGGCGGACGGACGTGTCGACGAAGATGGCCTTGTGTACCTCCGCAATCCGCACAGGAAACTCGATCTCGTCCAGCCGCTCAATCGCGTTAAGGACAGCCTGATCACTCGCCCTGTCCTCTTCCTTCTCTGCCTCCTCCTTTGCCGCCGACTGTAGCGGGAGGGCCAGCGCAGCACGCAACGCTCCTCGGCGCACAGAGAGCTCCTCCAAGTCCGCCTCGATCGTCTCCCTCGCCTCGCGATCAAGTTCATCTTCCTCTCCACTCTTCCCACGCGCCACATCCTCCAGCAAGATCCCCCTCAACCTCTCCCCCACCATCGCCGCGGACGAGGACGAAGCAGGAGAGACGAGAGGGGAAGGAAGGAGCGGGACGAACGAGTCTGGGTTCGCGAGGAACGCAGAGCGCAGGAGGGCGTGGAGGGTTGAGCGGACGTGGTCGAGGAGGGACGAGGGTGGGGCGTGGTCGAGCTGTGCGTGAAAGCCGGGCAAGTTCCGTATCAGCCACCGGCCCTACTTGAAGGGCAGACAGAGTGAGAGAAAGCGCGGAAACGCACCTCCGCAAGTCGTTCCAAACACCCCCTCGCGAACCTCCCGAGCGCCGGATCGTTCTCCCCCAGATCCGTCCAATACTCCTCCACCAACACCAGCACGAACGTCAGGTAGCCTAGGATCGAGGTCGCTCCGGATGGTGTTGGCGGAGTCGGCGTTGGAGGGATGAGGAGGGAGACGAGGAAGCGGAGGAATTGGGGGCGGTCGAGGAGGGATTCGTGGTAGAGGGACGAGACGAGTCGGAGGCTGCGACACATTCACAAACTCCTAGTCAGCTTCTGCGCTGCTGAGTGCAGGGAGAAGACGAAGGGCGAAGGCGCGACTCACGTATACTCAAACTTGTCCTCCCACGCTTTGCGCTTCTCCTCATCCAGCAACTCCAAGCCATTCGGTGCGCCCACACCCGCCGGTACAAGCGCAGGCGTGACCGCCCCCGACGCCGCCGATTTCGAGAAACTCGAGCTCCTCTGCCTAGCCGTCGCCGTCGCCAACAAAGGCGGGACGCTCGATACCGGTGTCGACGTGGGGAGAGGGGAAGAAGAAGAAGGAGGAAGGATCGTCTCGTGGAGTTGTTTGCGGACGAATTCGGAGACGACGGTGGTGAATTCCGAGGTGTAGAGCGAGATGGCGGTTTGGAGCGGGCGGGTCTTGGACAGTGATTGCTGCGAAGCGAGATGATGCTGATCAGTGAGTCTTATCGAGATCTCCAGCCCTTTCCTTGCCGACAGAAGCGGCGGGAAAGAAGGCAAGCGGATCAATCCGGGACTCACAATCTCGACCCCTCCAAAAGCCCTAACGAACCACACCGCCCGTCCCACTTCAACCTTCCGCTTACTCAACATATCGAGCCCCTTCTCCCCTTTATATCCATGCGGGACGCTCCGACTTAGTTTCGAGAGGGGCACGGAGGGAGAGGCGAGGTCTGAGAACCAGGCTTCCCGTTTCGAGTCGGTGAGGGTTATTCGGGAGGGGAGGCGGAATGTAGAGGGGCTGCGTGAACGTGAACGCGTTCGACTATCAGCCCTGTCCCGCGAGCGGAGGAGGAAGCTGTCGAGGGAGAGTCGCGCAACGCACCCGTAAGAGGGGAGTCGCTCGTCCGCTTTGGCTTGGACTGCAGCGACGAGGCGCGAGAGGTTGCCGAGGATATCGGACGTCTTTAGTTTGTCGTAGATGTGTTGGTGTGCGGAGAACGTTTCGGCCTGTTCGACCCATCTTAGAACTCGATCAGTCCCTTTCCGCTAGCTCGCCGAGGGGAGGGATGAAGGGGGGCGGGGACGAACCTGCACAGACGGTTTCGCCGCATACCCAGCCTTGACAACCTGTTCGCCCATCTGGTCCTCGTCCATCCCGTCCCTCGGCGGGTAGAAAACCGGAAAGAGCTTGACCGCCGCTCGTTCAGCGAGTTCTGCCGAGTCGTCTGCGAGTGAATGGGCGAGGTTGGAGGGGTCTAGGTCGGTTGAGGACGAGGAGGAGGAGGCGAGGAGGCCTGGTCGACCGGCCATGAGTCCCGTTCCTGCCTTCAATCCCGTTGTCCGCCCAGCTCGCTGTCCCGTTGCCGTCGTCCCAGCGTCGCCAGAGTCGGCGGGACGGTCCTCAATCCACGGCGCCCTCCATCTCGGCGGCATGAGTCTCCACCTCTCGAGTCCCTGCTGGGCGAGTATAGCATCCAAGGGCGAGGCATGGAACGTGTGAGAGGTCGATGGGGTGGTTTGCAGTGTGCCCGGAGCAGCGGGTGGGCCTGCGGAGGTCGAGGAGGACGAGGTGGGGAGCGAGGAGGAGGAGGATGAGGGAGCGGGCGCGGGCGGCGGTGGGTGGGTGCGCTTCTGTGGTGGTGGTCGGGACATGCCCCTGCGCGCGTGCAGCACTCGAAGCCAGCTGTCGAGTAGAGTAGTTGGAGGTTGACCTGCTGCTCGTCCTCCCAAGTCTCCGCGAAGTCCGCCCAAGTCCTTCGCGGCGAGCGGGAGATGCGAGGATATCTTCGAGGCTGTTACATTCTGAGTAATGCAGCCCATACACACGGCGAGTTGCCCTGTGCGCTGCCTGCTTTTCTCAGTCGCTCTGTTCCCCCCGTGTTCGCCTCGTCGCGCGTCGTCGTGAGCGACTTCAACGGACCTCGAGTGCTCGCTCCTCTTCGTCTTCTTCTTCCTTACTCCTACTCTTACCCTTACACTCTCGCAAGGGCCACTCCAAGCGGACCCACCCGCAGCCCTTTCGCTCTCTCCCCGTTCCCCTCCTCGTCCCCGTCGCTCGTTCCCATCACCCTCCCCCTCCCTCACACCCTCGAACCCCTCCCTTGCACTCTCTCACCTCGACAGAGACGGTCCACGATGCACACCCTCTCCCTCCTCACCCTCTCAGCCGCAGCAGCAGCCTCAGTCGCAGCCCATGGACCATCAGGTCCCGCTCAGGGCGTCCACAGGTTCAGGCAGAAGAGGATGGTCGATATCAGGGGCGACGATGGGGTTGTCAACCTCGAGTGAGTTTGCGTTCGACTGTTTTGGAGTGACTTGGGAGCGGCATCTGGCTGGACGAGGAGGAGGGATGAGGGTCCGCTCAGGCCTCGTCCGACGTCGGTCTTCTTGCTCAGTCGCAAGGCGCGAGATCCAGATACAAAGTGACGGTGGCGGTACGCAGGAGCAACGTTGGAGACGCAGGGAACGCAGAAGGGATGGAAAAGGACGACTTGCTGTCTGGCGACCTTCGCACGCTCCCTCGGCGGACGTCGCTCTCGGCCTCCGTCGCGCTCACGAGCAGCAGCGCACCCACTCAATACGCAGGAACTGACTCTACGTCCCACACGCCGCAGCTTCCTGCACAACGACTTTGCGCGCGTAACCAACAAATACACGAAATCCAACCTCGCCTTCAAAGCGAACCACGTCGTCCTCTCTCGCAACCACACCCTCCAGCGTCGTCGCGAGGACGTGTTTGCCATGGCCCGTGCGATGGAGGAGGAGAATCTTGCGAGGGAGGGCAGGAGGAGGGAGACGCATGCGCAGAGGAAGAAGAGGAGTGAGGTGTTGGGTGGCAAGGTGGAGAAGCGTGCGCCTGGGGGGTCGGTGCCGCTCACGGACTACTGTGGGTCGGGCGAAAGCCGTTTGTTCAGAAGATGGACGCTCGACGGGAACTGACTCGTTCACGCTGGCAGTCTCGGGCGGCAACGACGCGTCGTATTACGGCCCGATTGGGATCGGCACGCCCGCGCAGTCATTCGACGTGATCTTCGACACCGGCTCCGCCGACCTGTGGGTCCCGTCGTCCAAGTCGTCGACCTCCCACTCCAAGTTCAACACCGGCTCGTCCTCGACGATCGAGACCTCGTCCGCCGAGTGGGACATCACGTACGGCACGGGCTCGTCGCAGGGTTTTCTCGCGCGCGACGTGGTCCAACTCGGCGGCCAGTCGATCCCGAAGCAGATTTTCGCGCTCGCAGACACCTCGGCTCCGGTCGTCGAGGCCCTTCCCTCGGACGGGATCTGCGGCCTCGCTTTCTCGACTATCGCGACCTCGGGCGCTCCCACGGTCTTTGAGAACGCCATCACGGAGAAGATCGTCTCGAACCCGTACTTTGGGTTCTACCTCCAACGCGCGAGCGACCTCACGTCCGCCTCGAAGGGTACGATCGGCGGTGGCGAGTTGTGCTTCGGCTGTGCCGACTCGGCCAAGTACACGGGCCAGCTCAACTACGTCCCCGTCTCGGCCCAGTCATACTGGGAGATCCCCGCCGACGGGATCAGTGTCGATGGACAGGTCGTCTCGGGGACTTCGATGAGCGCTGCGATCGACACGGGCACGACGCTCATCTACGTCCCGACGGCCGTTGCGAATGCGCTTTACGGCAAGATTGGAGGAAAGGCCGTCGGGGGAGGGGGAGGACAGTACCATGTTCCTTGCGTCTCGACGTTCGGATCGATCGGCTTGAGCTTCGGGGGTCAGACGTACAACATCCCTCTTTCGGACGTCTTCCTCGGATGTGAGTCGGCGCGCTCGTCTTCGCGTTTCGTTTCCATATTGACATTGGTGTCCTCCTCACAGACGCCAGCGCCTCGACGACCAGCGAGTGCATCCTCGGTATCCTCGCGCAGGACATGTACGACGCCGACGGAAACGCCGTTGCCATCGTCGGCGACCTCTTCCTCAAGGTGCGTCCCCGCCTCTCTCTTCCGCTCGTTGATCGTCGTCTGACCTGTTACACACCCGCGCGCAGACCGTCTACTCCGTCTTCAGCTACTCGCAGGGCGGCAATCCCGCCGTCGGTTTCGCTCCCTCGATCACCTCTGGCCTCTCTGCCTCCGGCTCTTCCTCCTCGTCCGGCTCGTCCGGCGCGTCCGCCCCCTCTGCGTCAGGCAACGCCACCGTCTCCGGCTCGGCAGGCAGGTCGAACGCCACTGCGCCCGCTACGACCAGCCCGTTCGTCGTCTCGAAGAAGGTGGCCGACATCACTGCCAACCCCGGCGTCGCAACTTCTATCTCGACTTACAACCCTGCTGCCGCGCAAGCGACCGCCGCGGTCTCGGGCTCGTCGGGCGCAGCGAACGGAAGCGTCACGGCGCCCGCCGCGCCTTTCACATTCACCGTCTTCTCTGTCGCCAGCAACGTCCCGACCGTGACTTCCACCTCGACCATGTCGACTCCCACGTCGGACTCGACGACTTCGAGCGGCGGAGACGCCACCGCTGCAGAGGCGAGCTCGCCTTCTGCTTCGTCGACCAGCGGAGCGGGGAAGAACGTCGCGGCGATCGCTTTGGCCGTCGTTGCTGCGCTCGCGGGAAGTGCGCTGGCCGCCTAAACCTTCCCTGTGCACTCCCTCTCGATCACAGTCCTACACACTCGTTACACTCCCATACCACCTTGGTCGCTTAACTATCCTGTACCTTTATCCGGTCCCGTTCGCCCACCCGAAGTCATGTATTCAAGCATCGCCTTTCTTGTTCGCAGCTTCCCACTACTCTTCGCAGTTTCCTCCGTCTCTCTCTCTCTCGCTCACCTCTAGTCGTTCCTTCGTTTCCGTAGAGCCGGTGCACGCAGATGCTGATCCAGCGTTTGTCTTAGGGTCGCAATCTCACAGACACTGGCACTCTCTCTCGCTCGTTCCCGGTTGAAGAGAAGCTGCGAAGACTGTTGCGACGAGCTGCGCCCTACTCCTCATCCTCTCCGTCGACATCCATCCCATTCGGCTGTCCTTCGACATCAAAGTCGTCGAAACCCTCCATCATGCCCAACAGATGCTCGACGATGAACGACTCGCGCACGAGCTTGTCCGCACGTGTCATGTGTCGCTCGGTGTATGGGATCAACGCGCCCAGGACATCAGCGGCCTTGACCTCCGGCGCGCGCTTCGGCTTGCGCTTCTTGCCCTTGCCCTTGTCGTCCTCCGCTTCGTTCTCCTCTTCCGCCTCCTGCGCTGCCGCAGCGAGGTCGAGCAAGTCCTCGCCGTCATCGCCCTTGCCCTCGAGGTACGACAGCAACTTGTCCGCGTCGTGGAACTTGAGGATCGCATGCAAGACGCCCTGCGCAACTTCAGCCGTCCGCGAAACCGTGTTCCAGTCCTTGATGTAGCCGAGCAACTGGCGGATCTCTTTCGGTGAGAGAGACTGTAGGACGGCGTCGACGTGTCGCGAGCCGGTGAACGAGGCGAGGTCGGCTTCGGGATCCGTCGACGAGTTGGACGTGCCGGCGGTCTGGCGAACTTCGGTGAAGAGATTGAGGAGGCGGCGGGGCTGGTCCATCGAGAGGGCGAGCATGATCGCGTTCGTATAGTCCTTCATCGACAGGAAGTTCTCGTAGTCTTGCTCCCTGTGTGCGCTTCAGCCGTCAGCAATAGCGTCGAAGAGGAACATGCAAGCGAACGCACTTGAGCACGAGCTCCTCCTGCTCCTGCATCTTCTCGAGCTCCTCCGTCTCGGTCACGTCCTCCCACACCGTGATCACCGAATCCGCGCCGCCCGACACGACGTACTTCTCGTCCTTGGACACCGCAAGCGCCCACACCTTCTCCTCGTGGTTGTCGAGCGTCGTCGCGCACTCCTCCTCCTTGACGTTCCACACCTTGACAAGCCCGTCGCTCGCCGCCGTCACAAGCTGCATCCCGCGCGTCATAAAGTCGACGCGCAATACCGAGTTGGCGTGCCCCTCGAACGTCTTGACACAGGTAAAGTCGTTCAGGTTCCACAGCTTGACCGTCCGGTCGCCCGAAGCGGTCGCGAGGATCTGGTCGACCGGGCTGAACTTGACGCTCCAGACACCTCGCTTGTGGCCCTTGAACGTGCCGAGGAGCGAGAGGGAGGCTGAAGAGGGAGAGGACTTGGTCGCGGCGGTGTAGGAGATGGCGAACAGCTTGGCGGTGCGGTCTTGCGAGCCGGACGCGAGGAGCTTGTCGTTCGGTGCGATGTCGAGCGAGTTGATGTCTTTGTCGTGGATCTTCGTTGTCGAGAGGGAACGGAGGGCGGAAGGTCCGTCTTCGGCGGAAGGAGGGGAGGAGAGCAGCGAGGCGAGGTCCCAAATCTTCGCCGTCCGGTCTTGCGACGCGGTGACGAGGATATGCCGATCCCGCTTCGACGTCGCGACCGCACCGACCGACTCGACGTGACCTTCTGCCCGACCGATACACCGCCAAGCCGTCTCGCCCTCCTCGTTCGCCGACGCCGCCCACACCCGCGCCGTATTGTCCTTCGACCCGCTGACCAGGACCTGTCCGTCCGCTGTCCGTGTCAAGCACAAGACGACATCGTCGTGGCCCTCGAGCAGCGACGTGTTGAACCGATTGAGATCGTACACGCGGATCAAGTCCGAGTTCGTCGCGACGGCGAGCTGGGATTCGGGAGAAAAGGCGACCTCGTCGGCAGAGGAGGACGAGGCAGTAGGCGGGGTGAGGAAGCAGGTGTCGATGACTTCGTCGTTGAAACCGATAATCTGCCGAGTTGTCGTCAGGCTGGGGAGTGATCGAGTCACAAGGTTCTGGTCGACGTAGACGGCGGTGAGGGAGGAAGTGGCGGGAGTGTGGCTGTTCGGGAAGGCTTGTCAGCGGAGGAAAGACGGGAACAGCGGAACTTTGTGAAACCCACATAACGTCGACGATCTCGTGGACCTTGCCCGCCGCTTCGTCCGCCGTCTTGATCTGCTCGCCCGTCTGCAGGTCCCACAACCGCACGACGCCTTTGTCGCCTCCCGTGAAGACTGCCTTCTTTCGGGTCGCGTCCGTCTCCTTGCCCTTGCCCTTCCGGTCGCTCGACTGCGGCACCTCGACCAGACCGATCGCCTCGAGCGTCTCAAAGACAGGCACTGTCTTCCGCAAGACGCCCCGCTCGAGGTCCCACACGTTCACAACCTTATCGCGACCTCCGCTCACGAGCAGCTTGCCGTCCTTCGTAACGTCGAGTCCCCGGACGACGCTGACGTGCCCGTCGAGAACGTGCAAGCCCTCGCGCGTTCGCAAGTCCCACACTCGGATCTTGCAGTCGTCGGCGCCCGTGATCAAGCGCGCGCGACCTTGCGTCCCGCCGTCGCCCGCACTGGCGATGTCGAAGACCATCGCGCTGATCACGCCTCCGTGTCCCTTGAACACATGCGTGCAGTGACCGTGCGCAGCGTCCCAAACCTTGACGATACCGTCTGCTGATCCGGTGGCGAAGAGCGTGCCGGTCGGGTCGGCGCAGCAGGTAATGATGGGCGCATCGTGAGCGCGAGGGATGTGGCGGTGGAGCTCGAGAGACGGAAGGGAGTAGACGTGAATGGCGAGCGAGCGGCAGCAGGTGAGGAGGAAGCCGCCGTCTTGCGGCGAAAGGGGAGAAGGGGTAACGGCGAGTGTCGTGACGGCCGAGGTGTCCTGCCGAAGACGAGGCCGGTCAGCCAGTAATCGTAAGAAGCCGTGAGCCGCACTCACGCCCTTGAGCTCCTGAATCTGCTCGCCGGTCTCAACATCCGTGACCAACGCCTGCTCGTTCAGGGTCGAGACGAGCCAGCTCCCGTCTCCCGAAAGCGACGCCTTGCCTCCGGTATGCACAGGAGAGTACGCCTTAACATCCTTGAAGCTGTGGACCGCAGAAAGAGGTCAGCAACAGTTGCGAAACGAGTGAGAGGTGCTCAGCTGGAGAAGCGAGTCCTGTCTGCTCTTCCACCCTGGAAGCCCGCACGACCGCCTCACAACTCGTACCCATGAGCCGACCGGCGACCCCATCAGTCTCCCTAGCTGACCCCCGTTAACCAGCTCATGCCACAGCCTCCCTCCGCGACACTTTCTGTCCCACCTCGCACACCGCTTCTAAGGGCAATCCGGCGGTGCTGAGCTGCTCGTAGACTGACCTCGTTTTGAACCTCGGTCGCGGATTCGACATAGCAGCGAGACGAGCTCAGCGAGATGAAGTGCAGTTGTCCAAGCTGGCCTGATGAGGTTGACCTCGACACAACACCCGCTATTGCTTGAATGGCCAGCTCGAAGCCATGGCGGAGAGGCTCTGCTACACCTGGACGCGGCGGCAACCGCGACATGGACTCTCGCTGGGCCACCTCCCTTCCCAACTCTCGACCAAGCGGAGATGAGGCTCATCGCGGTGGCAGAGGTCGCGGGACGGGCGGAATATCGCGGGATGGGCTCAGGATGGCGAGAAAAGAGGTCGGCAAGAAGCCAGACGCGATGGACATGCTCCTGTCGCCGAGCCGTGGGCTGCTTGGCGGGGATGAGGACGAGTCGTGCGTCTCCAGCTCGCTCTCTTCGCTTTGCTGCAGTGCTGAGACCGTCCGACCCTCTGTCCTAGACTGCGCAACCACGAGGTGCAGGAGCGGTTTCGCAAGCATGTCGACGAGAAGCTGCAGAGGTGGTCGTCTGCCCATCCTTCGACGGGTGCTCAGGCAGAAGCGCGCAGACGAAGACTGGAGGAGCTGAGCATCATCTTGCTGGACTTTCGTGAGCACTGCTGTCCGGTTGGGTGCTGAGGCGAAGTGCTGACGACCCTTCTCACAGGGAAACTTCGTGAGGGAGTGACTTCCAGTCGTCGAACGGACGCTTTTGCTTGCGAAGGTGCGCGACATTGACTACCGGATCTTCGCACGAGATTGATGGCCTGCCTCCACAGCCTACGAAGCCTCGGTGCTCCTCTCGATTCACGCCTCGAATGACGCGCAGCTTTCGTCCTCCCTTCCGCCTCTCGTCTCTTCGCTGCATCCGGCTCCTCTCACACGATGTTCTACATCGGCTACGGATACTCACAGCGATGTGAGCGACGCCTTCGCTCGTCTCGACATCTCGCCCGCGCCGGACGCCCCAACTTGCGCCTTCTTCCTCACGCTTCACCTGCTGCATTCGCATCTTCTTCCGGCATTCTCGACGCCTAACACGCCGCAAACCCCCGCCTCGTCGTCCTCCGCACATCCACCATTATCTTCCTTCCTCCCGACCCTCTTCGGCCACCTTCGTACCCTGCATCTCCCTCTACCGACTGCGCTCACGCCGATTCCGCAACTCTCCGACTCACACATCCGCTTCCTCCTCTCCTTCTACTACGCCCTCCTCCGCAACTCGTACACCTCGCTCGCACGCCTCCTCTCGCCTTCCCACCTCCCAGCTCCTCCGCCCGCAGTCACCGCCCTCATCACCTCCCTACATCTCCCCCCGACATTTCACCCTCTCGCCACGCTCCTCTTGACACACTCGGCGGCGATACGGACGAACCGCATCTGGCCGGTCGTGCACAAGGCGTATCGATTCCCGCCTGATCCAACGGCGTGGCTTTCGAAGGGGCTCTTGTTCGAGTTCGAGGTGGAGCAGGACCAGCGGGCAGCGGGATCACTCGAGCGAAAGGAGCGGAAGGAACGCGTGAGCGAGAGCTGGGAGGACGAGGACGAAGAGCAGGACGGGCAGGAGGCGAGACGAGCGGAGGCGGCGAGACGGGCAGAAGCGTGGGTGGCAGAGAGAAAGGCTGCACGATAGGTTGCGACAAGGATGAGTCTACGAGATGCGAATGCTGTAGCGTGTCTTTGCGGATCGAGTCTAGTAGCGCGGGAGCTTGATCCGTCCGCCGGCCTTGATCCATTCTGCGAGCTCTTTGGTGACGGGGATCTGGCAGGCGAGCCTGAGCGAGTTGTCAAGTGTGTCAATATCGCTCGGCTAGACCGACTCCTCGCGCAGGCTGCCACCGCCGCCGCTTCAAGAGACTGGTTGGCGAACTGACCTCGAATCGTCGTCCGCGCCAATCGCAAACTCTAGCTGCTCGTCCTCTTCATCTTTCATCTCCGGTATAGGCGCAGAGTGCGGCAAAGCGAGCGGTTTCCGACCTGTTGAAGAGTCCGCGACGGCGGAAGAGGGGGAGTTGGGAGAGAGAGGCGGGATGTGGACGTGGCAGGTCGCGCATTCGCAGTGGCCACCGCAAGTCGCGAGGATGGAGGGCATGTCATTTCGTCGAGCGGTCTCCTGCGAGAGTCAACGGATCAGACCAGGAACTTCGAGCTGAATATACAGGAGAACCAGCGCCTTCAGCGGGCTCTGTCCCGCATGCAATGCTCAATCCCCCCGACTCACCATCAAACTCTCTCCCTCGTATCCCAGCACCCGCTTGTCCTCGCCTTCGTATGTAGTGAAGACAATCTCGACGCGGTCTCCCAACTCCTGCCGCGGCTGATCCGACTTGTCCTCCGCCGTAGCAGACGGTCGATTCGCGTACGCTACTCTCGTCTCGTCGGAAGTGAGCGCTAGTCGGCCTCGCCAGCGGGAGAACCAGGGAAGGGAAGAGGGAGAGGTGGCGTAGTCGAGCAGTTTCGGCGCATCGTCGGCTCGCAAGAGGCCGTACCTGCACAGAGGTAGGCATGAGTGACGACGTCCAGACGGAATAGACTGCCTCATCCACTAATGGGTGAAGAGCAGTCGGTGTCAAGCGCCGCAAGCTCACCAATCGCACGCTCCGCCCTCCTTGTACACGAGCGCGTTGCCCGCCCACTTGTGCCCGCCGATATGCGCGACCCTCACGATTCTCATGCCGTCTTCGCCATCTCGCAACTCTCCACCTAGCCTCCTCCGCTGGATCTCCTTTAGCAGAGCCTGGTAGAGCGGCTCGCCAAGGTCTCCGCATCGGCAGTCGCGGGTCGTGTGTGTGCAGACAAAGATGTGGGTTCGAGGAGGTGCCGTAGTCGTTTCAGAGGAAGGCTGGACGGTTCGAGGTGGAGGAAGGGAGAGATAGAGGGATTCGAAGGAGGAGATCGAGGAAGGCGAGAGGTTGGGGATGTGCAGGAAGTCGGGGTAGAGCGTGGCGGAGTAGCGTCTATGAAGATCTCGCTGGTCAGCTTCATCGCAAGGCTTCCCATGCCAACTCGGGGAAAGTAAGATCTCGCCGAAGCGACAAGAGAACGGGAGAAAGCGGACGCACTCCTCCTTGACCGCGCCTGGTTCCGCCGGCTCGTCAAACTTGCTCTTTGCAGGATCCCAGTGCTCCTCGACAGACCCGCTTCCTCCATCGGACATGCCGAAACCCAGCTTGCTCAGTTCCGGATGTTTCGCCCATCGCTGTCCCAGCTCCCTGTACAAGCGCGATACCGATTCGAGATGCGAGGGCCACGTAGATGTCGGATGAGGTGTATGGATGACAAGGTGTCGAGGGTACTGAGGAGCGGAGCCGATGACGGGCGGAGTCGACGAGGAGGCGAAGCGGCGACCACACCTCGTGCGGGCGAGCGCCACTGGGTACTGTCGCAGTCTAAAAGGTCCCAGAAAGAGCATGGCGGTCCGATCGAGCCACCGGAAGCTGAAGCGGCGAGCAGTAGCAGGCGAAGAGATGAATTCGCTCCTTCGCCTCGAACACACACCGCTCACCGCGCCAACTGGCTTGAGGGCGCTAGTGACGCGGTTTTGGACCTGCACAGCTCGACTGGCTTGACCGCCAACCCTCCTCCTCCCGCTCACTCTCCGTCCGACCACCCTTCACCGCCTCGTCTCTCAACTCGACACACGGAGAGAGCGCACTCGCGGAGAGGCTGCGGGCAGAAGCAGACAGCTGAAACAGGAGCTATGGCACGGGCGAAGCTGAAAAAGGCGGCCCAGCATCCCACACACGCCGCCCAACATCCTTCCCTTCCTCTTTGCCTCGTCGCCGCCCTCGTCTCCCTCCTCCCCTTCCTCTTTTCGGCAACGGCGACCGACCTCCTGCACCCGCGTTTCTCTTCTGCGCCGGTACACGCGACGCAGCCCACCGCCGTCGTCTACGGCACCCTCGCGGCCCTCTTCCTCGCGCAGAGGTGCCTGCGAAAACAGGAGAGTCGACGCCTGGGATGGAGGTCGTGCTGGTTCGGGATCGGTGTGTGGAAAGTGGTGTCGGAAGCGCTCGTCAGGCTAGGGGGAGAATGGCTGCAAGGGCTTGGGCTGAATCGAGGGATTCTTGCTGGACGCTTCCTCTTGGAAGGCGTGCCGACGCTGCTCCTCTGGAGCTGGTTGTGGGATAGCTTCGACTGCAAAGAGGTGCGTACGCGTCTGCAAAGAACCTGAACTCGGCGTAACTCAAACTGCGCCCCTGCAGACAACCGCTTTCCTTCCGAACGGCTTCCTCCCCTTCGCCTACCTCGCCTCGCTCGTCCTTCCGCCGCCAGTGTTCGCTTCCCATGTCTGGCCAGAGTGCTACACTGTATGTCCTCCGCACGCCTAACCTGTCGTCACGCTAACAATCGTTCCTCCAGGTGCAACTTCACGGCATCCTCCTTTGCCTCGTTGCCCTCTTCGCTCCGCATACCTACTCGCCTCCCCAGCCGCGCCGTCTTCATGCCGCATCCACCTTCTTCTCGCAGGCCAAACCCCTCTCTCGCTCGATCGTTTTCGCCGCAATCCTCGCCCTCGCCCACGCAGTCGCCCTCACTTCGTCGCACTGCCCAAGCTCTCCGTCGACACTCCCGCCAGGCATTCTCGCCTCTCGTTGCAGCACTACCGGCTGGATCACCGTCGGTGAGCACGTCATGCCGTCGCCAGACGGATCAACCGAGCGAGACTTGACCCTCCGCTACCTGCGTGCGGATCACTCCTTGCTCGGCGGGCTGTGGGTTGGGCCGAGCCGCGATATGCTCAAGATGCAGTACGGAGTAGAGCCTTCCAGTGAGGAGACGGTTAGGCGGGCGGAGAGCATCTACGTGCGTAGGAAGACCTGCTGACCTTCCTAAACTGACTTTTCGCTGCGTCCTCGCCTAACAGTCGACGTTCATCCTGCAAGAAGCGGTGCGTCTCGTCAAGCCACCTGAAGACGTCCCGCACCAGACGCCCGAGCAAGGCCTCATCATGTGCGCCCCCGTACCTGCCTCCCCTTGGCTCGCAGACTGATATATCGACCGTTCATAGCGGACTCGGTGCCGGCTTGTCCGCTCGCGCTCTCGCTCGACACGGCGTCAACCTCACTCTCGTCGAGATCGACCCAGCTGTGCACGATTTTGCGGAGCGGTACTTCGGGGTGAACGAGGTGAAGTGGGGAGAGGTGGTGCTGAAGGATGCGGTGGAATGGGTGGAAGCGTTGGTGAAGGAGACGAGCGTACGTCCAGCCCGTTGTGTCGACCGCTCTCGAGTTGCCTGACGGGTTCCCTCCACAGCCGCCTGCATTCGACTACATCATTCATGACGTGGTGCGTCGACCAGTTCCTGGCGCGCAAAGTGTCAGGCTGATACTGACAGGTGCTCTCCTGCGTCACTGCCCCACGCACAGTTCACCGGCGGCGCCGTTCCGGCCACCCTCTTCACCTCGACCTTCCTCGCCCAGCTTAAGTCGCTCCTGCACCACTCGGGCGTCCTCGCTCTCAATTTTGCCGGCACACTCTCCTCGCGCTCGTCTCGCTCAATTCTCTCGACCCTCCTTTCCGTCTTCCCACACTGCCGCGCCTTCGAAGACGTCCCTCACACCGCCTCCGGTCCCGCCGAGTCCACTAGCGACGACTCCTTCCGCAACATGGTCATCCTCTGCTCGAAAGAGTGGTACGCGCCTGTCGAGCTTCGCGACCCGGTCAGGGAGGACTTTCTCGACTACCCGAGCCCCATGATCCGGCGCAGCGTCTTCGCTTCGTTCAGGCAGCACGAGATTGACTTGACGCGCTTCAAGCCTGCCTCAGGCGACCACGGTGTCGGGACATGGCTGCTGAGGGACAGGAACGACGTGAGGAGGGTCGAGGCGGCGCAGCTTGACGAGGTCGGCATGCACTGGGACGCGATGGAGAAGGTCCTTCCGCCCGAAGTCTGGGCTCGATGGTGACGGCGTAGCTCCTCGCTTGATGGGAACCCGAAGCGACGTCGAAAATGGCGCGTCCAGGCGGAGAGGCTTATCTGCGCTCGATGAGCGATTTGTGCGGATGCGCTGATTTTGAGCCGTCGAGCGGCTTTGTGCGGGCAGGAGGGGTACAAGAGCGCTGCTTCTCTCTCTTCCCTCTCACTTTTCACCAACAAGAGCCAGAACGAGCCAGAGGTGGGCGATCTCCGCTTCTTTCCCTCCAGATTCAGCGGCTGACCTCCCCGTGTTCGCAGAACAACATGTCCTTCGTGCGCCACCTCGTCCGCCCTTCGGAAGCTCAGCAGTACGTCCTGACGCCTTGCTCGCCCGCAGACCCTCCGCCTCGCACCCCTCGCCCGTCGTACCTTCACCTCCGGCATGGCCACCTTCGCCGCTCGGTGCGTTCCCTCGCCTTGCCCAACATTGAGCGCTTGCTGACCGCTTCAGCCACAGCAGCGGATGTGGCTGCTCCTCGTGCTCGAACTGCGATTGCGGCTCGAACTGCAACTGCTCGGGCTGCCACTGAGCGCGCAACTATCCCGTTCGTTCCGCCACACGCAATGTAGCGGAAGTCAAGTCCTCGCCGAACGTGAAATGAAGTTATCTGCACAGAGCTGAATTGCGTCGGGGAGCTACAGAGCGAGAGGGAAAGCCTGAGAAAGCGGGCGGGGCGCAAAGCGTGCAGAAAGGCGGAGGACGCGTGAGAGACGATGAAACACGTGGAGGGGAAAAGCGGAGGTCGAACAGGCGATTACTGCAGGAGAAAATAGTCAGCTTGGCGGGAACGGCGACAACGAAGGGAAAACGCAACGAAGTGTTCCTTCTTGAAGACGAAGCGGACAGCCTCGCTGCTCGCCTTCTTCGCCTTGCTCTTGAGCTCCTTCGCGAGACCAGGCGGGCCGCAGTAGAAGACTGGCAACAGCGAGAATCGAAATCAGCTTGACCCAAAGTGGAGCGGCGAGATGGTGCGCCCCGCCGACATCCGTCGTGAGCGAGCTCTCCTGACCAGGCAGGTACATGCCGACGTCAATCTTGGTCCTGAGCTCGCGGAAGAAGACGTCAAAGTCGGGCCGGCCGAAGTGCGTCTGCGAAGTGAGCCCGCTGACGGCGTCGAACTCGTCTGACTGGACGGCGATGTTGGCGAGCATGGCGGAGGAGACGGGCTGCGTGAGGTAGATGCGGATGGTGAAAAAGTCGGGGTCGGTCGAGCTCTGCAAACGCGCGCAAGGAGGTATAGCGAAGTCAGCGCGGCGCCTAAGTTCGGAAGGTGCACTCGTTCGCTTTGACTGCATGAGCGGTGTACGTACCTCCTCGAGCTGGCGGAAGAGCGAGTGGAACCACGACACGTCGGCAGTGTTGCGGACAATGAAAACGAGCTGGACGCGACGAAGAGCGCCGAGACGGTTCTGCTGCATCTTGTACCTGCGTGCATCGATCCAACATGGTGTCAGCATTCGTCGAAAGAGGATCACCGAGCTACCACAAGCAGTGAAGAGGGCGAAGCGCACCAGATCGTCTTGAGAACCGAGGCGAAGGGGGTGATGCCGATACCGGCGCCGATGAGGACAGCAACTGCACGACAGTATCAACTCGGTGCTCTGGTAAAGATGGCGGCAGGCGAGGCTCACCTTCGTGGCGGAACACATCCTGCGTCGGCGCGCCAAACGGTCCGTCGATGCGAATCGTCGGAAGCGAACCGACGGCGTCGAGGGCGCCCGAAGTCACGTCGTGAAAGTCGCCTGAGCCGTCGTTGACTGCTTCAAGGTAGCCAGGCGGCGAATCGAGCTTGGCCTTCTCAGCCAGGTCGACAGACTCGAAGGACGTCGAGAAGCGAGCAACTGTGGCGGAGTCGCAGCCGAGAAGCAGGCCGAGGGCGCTGTCAAGTGAGACGTCAACGAGCGGAAAGCGGGGGTTGGGGGCAGAGTGAGACGAGCTTACCGCGTCCAGTCCCCGACTTGGCGAATGTGCACCGAGACGTACGGGTCCTCCGGCGCCGACGAAATCGTAAACGGGTGCCACTGGAACGGCGAGACCGCCGGAACATTGAGGAAGAGCCACTGGCCGGACTTGTAGCGGAATGACGGCTTGACGAAGCGGAGCTCGACAGCGCCTTGCGGATGAAGGAGGACGGCGATGAGCTTGGTGGCGCGGCGGCTGCGGATCTGTACGAATCAAGAGCCGTCACAATGTGAGCGAGTCCTTCGAGTCACGAGGCCTGCAAGACGCAAGACGCAATCCTGACGCACCTCGCGGACGATGCGTTCGAGCAGCAACGCGATACCGCCCCAGATTGTCCACGTCCACGAGTAGTAGCCGAGACAGCGGACCGGCTGGCCGGGAAGAGCGCCGCGGACGAAGCAGCCGACAGCGTGGACGTAGAGGCAGAAGAGGATCAAGGCGACCTACGGAGCGAGGCACTCAGCTAGTCTCGCAACTGCAGGAGCGAGCAAAGGGACGCACGAGGTGGTGCGTGTACCAGAATGCCTCGAACGACTGCTTGCGGATCTTGGCGTGTGCGGTCGTGTAGACGAGGAGCATGAGGACGAGCATGACATGGCCGGTGAAGCCACCGGGCTGGGTGAACAGGATGGCCCAGGCAACCTCCTTGCGGATCTGCGTCAGCTCGACGTTGTACATGTTGACGTCTACACGAGCGAGAGCGAGAGGAGCGGAAGGTCAGCCTGTGAACCGCTCGCTTGAGGAACCAGAGCGCCAGGCCACGGTGCGACTCACAGTGGCTGGTGGTGTGCACAATGGTCCAGAAGAGCAGCGAGTAGGCGAACTGGCGGTGCATCCAGAGGTTTTCGTCGAGCGGGATGAGACGGCCGAGGACGGGGCGGACGAGGCGGATAGTATTGCGGAGGACTGGCCGCTCGCCTCGCGTTAGCACTTGTACTCAACAACAACAACGAGTGCCGAGCGACGCACCCGGCAGGACGAGGAAGAGGCCATCGATTCCGAGACAGAGTCCGGCGCCTCGCGAAGTCCAGACGCTGTACTTGAGCGTGTTGAGCCCGGCGAGGCGTGCATCGCGCGCTTGCTTGAGCCAGCCGTAGATGAAGACGAGGATATGACCGATGTAGAAGCTGCGCGAGGTGAGGCGGTCGGTCAGCTCGAGCGAGGGCCAGGGCGAGAGGGCGGACTCACAAGACGTTCCAGAGGAGGCGCCTTCCGGTCAGCTCGTACTTGACGCGACTGTTAAAGCCCATCTTGTACGGAAGCGAGGCAGTGCGGCTGCACGCGAGTCGAGGGAAGGGTTGGCGAGTACGAAGGTGAGCGAGCGAGGGACGAGTAGCGGGAACGAACGGGCCGCAGAGCTTGCGATCTGGACAGGCGTGCTCGCGTCGGTTACTTGTTCAGTTAGCGAGCCAGTCCAGCTGGTCAGAGAGGGCGAACGAGGTGAGCGAGTGAAGGGAACGAGCGAGAGAGCTGTTGGAAACGGTCGGCGGGAGGAGACGGCTCGAGCGGTGGTCCAAGTGGGACTGGCGAGGACCCGAGTAGCTCAAGCGACACCTTGAAGACGATCTGACGGCCCGCGCGAGGCAGCTAAGCGACTCCAGCCGTTCCACCACCTCGAGGTCGACGAGGAGGAGCAAGTCGCTCGCAACGGCAGCGGAGCGCGTCGGTCGAAGCTGCGTGCGACGAAGGGATCTGTCTGAGATATTTTGAGCCCTCAGTATCTCCCTTGCCCTGAGCGAAGTTGGCGTCTCTGCTCGAAGGACTCCGTTGCAATGCTGGCTTCTCTCAGTCTGCTCACCGTCGCTCAAGCTCAAGTCGCTCCAAATGGCTAGTCTGCCTCAGCTGTACCGCTCTACACTGCGCCAGTTCGTCAAGAACGTGCGTCCGAGCCATCCTCCCTCACCACGCGTCCTCATCGCTAACCGCCTCTCTCCGCCACATCCAGTC